ATTAGAAGTGAGGCCGGGTCTGGTCACGTGGGAGGGGCCTGGAGGAGCGCGCGGAGGGGGGAGAGGAGGGAGGGGAGGGGTGAAGGGAGGAGAGGGGGGGAGCTGACCTTGTCCACATAAAGCAGTGATTTATGAAGTGTAGGGCACAGCAGCGGGGGATTCTGTCTCCTCCCGCAGAACCAAATTACTGAGGTGGAGATTAACACGCCGGGCGCACAACGGGCCCACTTCCCAGACGCGAGGAAATTTTGTATTTACATGTTCCCCCTTCATTTCCTCTGCTTGGGAGTCAATGCTGATTGCTTGGTATCACTGCTGTGCTGGAGCCTACCTACTGCCTACTTTTCTATAGAACTACAGCCATTTCAGAGGCCTACACAAGTATTTAAGGCTGCAATTATAAAGCATGAAGTGCATTTGGATAGGATTCACAACAGTAAAAAGTTTTAAAAGGTAGTCATCTGAACTAGTACTATAGGTGTTGCTAAAATTAGACAAAATCTCATGTCGATATTTTCTTTTATAGTCTATTGTATTTACTTAGTGAAACATTTTAAGCAAACATTTTAACATTAACCAAAAATAGACGAGTTTTAGTCCAAAGTTGATGTGAATATTCAGTCCTGGTTTAGTTCATGGTCCAGATGTATTCATAAGTTTTATAATTTGTTGATTGTATCAGTGTGAATGCATCCTAATCTTTCCAGTGAGCAGTTGACAATTTATTTAGCTAATATTATGTTTTGTGTATATTTTCTCCGTTAATCGCGGTGCGTAATTCTGGTTTCGTGCGTAAACTCGTAGAAACTATTTTACGCGAATTTGTCTTGCTTCTTTCTCTCTCCTCCACTTCTCCCTCGCTCTCTGGCTGAGGAGGGAGGATGTACTGGAATGCGCTCCGCTCCACAGGCCTGCAGTACACCAGTCCATGCGCCCGCCCTGGCTGCCTCCTCTCCGGCTGCCACTCGGGAATCCCCCCCTTCTGTGCCATCGCGCTTCACGTGGGACTGAGCAGCGAAATCCAAAATGACTTCTAGAGAGAACAATACTTCGACTTCATTCAAAAGAGAAATAGGCCAGATTTAACGCTAAGAATCACTCTACTGCCTCCAATGCCCGTGAGTGATCTTCATAAACAAACAAGACAGCCACGGGGCAAATTTATTTACGCGATAAAAAAGCGGTTTAAGAATTTCACAGCGCTTTAAAGCATCGCTACTTTACTCCAAACAAGAAAGAAACTCAAGAGTGCGGTGATATAGTCTCGCCCAACGTGCCCCGAAGCTGGTTTGGTTTGTAATTCGTTGATAAACAGCTATTTTTCACGCCTGCGTTCGTCATGTTGTGATTATTATGACAACAGCGTGGCACAATTCAGATAAAACGCGTTTCATCTGCGCACATCTCAACGTTATTTGCTTTGCCTCACATCTAATAAATATCTTTGGGAAACAAGCCTGGCAAATCACACTCGTAGTATCAAGTAAACAGCCCGCATTCGTTCCAGTTCAATTGTAATGCTTTATGTGTGTGCGTAATGTTCATGCCTTCATAACTAAACGGTATTTTCATGTGACACTTTTATGCTTGTATGTACGTGTATAAATTATTTTGAAGAGGTCAAAAGGGTCAAATTTCCTAGATTTGGTCCCGGTTTATTCAATCTCTTGATGTGAATATATATAGGTGAAAACATGTATTAAAATGAAGTCATATTTAAGTAGGTCTACTGTATAACATTAAGGTACAATTACGAAGCATTTTTATGTGGATATATATTCTGGTTCAAGATAATAAATAGTTCCCAATGCCCAAATGACATTCTAGGCCTATAAAACTGTGTCTGAAGAGTTACATTTTTACGACGTTACAGGTGTGCACTTTGACATAACAACCAGAGCAGCTCTGTTGGACATGTGAGGTGAAGCAGGCGCTGAGAGCTGAGAGCTCCAGTTGAGCGCGCCATCTTCTGGAAGGGCAAAGAAACACACGCAGCCTCTGGTCACTTTGCGCGCTCCTGTCGCCCACTTCACCCCCCGCGAGACACAACCCACAAACCCGCGTGTTTATCCTGGTTTTCTCTCACAAATTCACTCCTTTTCAGAACCCCGTGTCTGTCTCTCTCTCTATCGGGATCCTCCATCAGACTCCGCGAGGCCGAGGAGCAATCACTTTCCCAGATTACTCGTATTTAATACACAATGCATCATAAAACAAATCCCTCATCCTGACAGGAAGAAAATAGAACAGCTCATTCGGCTTGAGCTTTCCCAATTTATGGCTAAATTAAAAAGGCTTCCAACAATGGACAAGTCGAGGAGAGGCAGGAAATCAATGCGCGGCCGGACCGGGGTCTCAGTGCGGTTCTCACAAGGAGCGCGACACGATGGGAACGAGCGCCCGGGTCCTGCCTTATTTACACATGATTTTTCCTGTCCTTCCTGCACATTTCGCCCGGCGCTTTTCGTTAAACAATGGCCATTATCTGGGATGGAAGGTCAATGTCACAAAGCGTTATCCATCATCATCTGCTCTCATCAGCCAAACAAGGGGAAAACGCCGCACTCCGGCTTTATGAGCTGCCTAATAAAGTGCGTATTGACAGGGACGAGGGCGTCTTTATCCTGGATCCAGAGCGAGAGTGGCCAATAAAAGGTTTATTCTGCTGAAATGGAAGGAAGGAAAGGCAAACAATCCGCAGTACAAGTGTTTGTTCTTGGAGTTCAAGACTGACAAATTTGCTATTGACCTTTGCAGTCAACACTTTTGTTAAAACACTCTAAGGGGAAAAATAAGAAAAAAGCACATGTGTGCTTTTGAGCAGGATTTTTGGCAGTTAGTGCGCCATCAGTGAATGCGCAAACACAAATTATGGAGTCAATAAATTAGGCGGTTCGTTCTGTCATGTCAGGCTTTTGATGAATGGGAGCGCCACGTAATTTCAAAATGCAAATCTAGCTACTTGTATATTGAATAAAATATGTTTCGATTTTTCATAATCGACTTCTAGTTAATACACCACTTGCAACCGCGTTTAAAGTGCACCTATTTGAGAATAAAAAATATTTTGAACGTTGAAATAGGTTTGCTGCGTGTGTATTAGTTCAACAAAATTTAACTAGTCGTGCGTAAAAGTTGTGGATCAAGCTTTTGACGCCCGATCCGTGCTCGCGCGTATTTCACCCTATAATGGCACAGAAACCCCGTCCCGCCGACCTCTGGCTGACCCCCACTCTCACCCTCTCCAACCCCCGGAGCCCCCCTTGACACTTGCACTATTTACTGCGGCGGAGAGAGGGGGCACCCGGCGCTATGAGGTCCAGTTTAAGTCTGGATCTCTATTAGCTCGTGGGATGGGGTTTCGTTTCGCTGCGAGACAAAGTCGGGAGTGAAGACCGAAAAGAAGATGCAATAAGGGGTTGCTTGAACTGCTGTGGCGCGCGCTACCCTCCTCCTCCTTCTCCTCCTCCTCCTCCTCCGCGCGCTCTCCCACCCCTCCCTCCTCTCCTCGCGAAGCTCTCGGCTGTCATACGGACACGACACATCCCGAGCAGCAGGAGGAGGGAGGAGGAGGAAGCGCAAAGGGAACTAAGTTGAATGGCTACGAGCGGAGGACACCTGGACGGGACGACAGTGACAAGAGACCGAGCGGAGACGCGCGGCACATCACGGCGAAAAGTTGAGAGAGCGACGGTCAGCTACTGCACTAGAGCGCTATCTGTCTATGAGGATTTAACCGCACGGGACAGCGAGGAGAGGAAGATACGACAGGACGAGAACACAACTGTCCCGTGCGTAACTTCGGGGGAAAGACAAGAGAAACGCTGTAACCGGGACTTTTTACGTTTTCGTGGAGTTTGCACCGTAGTGTGTTTTTACCCAGGAGATCGGATGTGCAACAATAAAACACCAAGGTAAGGGAATAAAAAAAATAAATCCAATAAAACTCGACATTTGCGGATCTCAAACAACTTTCATGTTCATCTGCGTAAAAGCGCACGAGCCCGGACAAAGGGATCAAAACGGGCAAAATATTTATTCAGTGACAAGTTGGACAAAGGCACAAAGCGACAACCTGGTTTTCAGTTTGAAGTGATCCATTGATAATGCGTTTTAAAGTAGCCCATTTATCTGAATTGAAATTTTATAGCTTTTATTTTATTGTTTTTAATTTACAGTGTTTTGTGTAAACATTGTTTCGTCAACAATCACTATATATTGTAACTGCTTTTATTTTATTTTAATTTAGTTCAAATTATTATTATTATTATTATTATTATTATTATTATTATTATTATTATTATTATTATTATTACGATTTTTTTTTTTAGAAACGAATTTTAAGTCATTCGTATCCATATTAATTGAGATGGCTGATACAACAATTGTTTTTGTTTATTTTGAAAAATGTCACTTTTGTAACAACGGGACAAAATACACATTTTATTACTTATTATTGTAATTTTACAGTGCGTTTTTTAAACAGTTTATTGAGCTTTTAATTGTCTTTGTATTTATATGGTTGAGGCCACTATAAAGGCCTTTTATTTGTGTTTCTATTTTTAACACTTAACACTTTTTAAAATAGATTTTTTTACACATTTATTTTTTTTATATATAGTTTTTCAATTATTCATTGTACCTTTTTATTTCTGTTACATGGCTGTTAAATTGGGTTTGAATTATTTTACACATTTTCCTGCAATTTCTACATATTTAGTTTTCATTTAGAGGTTTTACAAATATGGTCATGGTAATAATTTTTCATATTGTCTCCACTAAATCCCCATAAATCCCAGAGACACTCCTCCTCACATAATGTTTTTTCTCTGCTTGCGTGTGTCAAACATGTGTTCACTCTCAGTGGGAGGTATGCGCTGTAGTCACTGTTTGGACACAGTTACCTGGACTGATACTGATCAAAGACTCTTCTCTCCTCTCTCTCTCTTTCTTTTTTTCTCTTCTTTCTTCTCTTCTTTTCTCGCTCTTCTTCGGTGCAGATCTTGGACAGCTCTGGCCATGTAAAATTCTGCGTGGATGCCAGCAAGCCTGATATCGGGAGCTGGCTCAAGCACGTCCAGTTTACCCCTGTGTCCGAGCAACACAACCTGACGGCGTGCCAGATAGATGATCAGGTAAGACGAGGAACTTTTCTTTAGATTAAACATGTAAAAATATAAGAGAATTTCTGTGCTGTCTCATCTTCAGGTGGTGCTTGAACTCTTGACTTTACTACTCTTACAATCCTCTAAAAGTGCTCGTGTTATGGGTTACAATTATTAAAAAACACATCTAGGTCAGATTTTAAAATTCTCTGATTCTGATTGCAAATTTTTGTAATGATTTATTAGTAATTTTTCAGATGAGTAATTTCGTGTGCTGGATAGATTTCGGCCTATTGTAGTGGACACAATTGTGACACTCCCTTGGATTTAACACACGCATCAATCAATATGACAAAAGTATACAAAATTGAACAAAATTTAAGATTTTTCTATCTCATAATGGTAAAAATGTTGTCTCCAAATCAAATGTTGGAGTTGAAATATCCCAAATATGTCAAAATGATAGCAAATTTTAACAAATCTAACAAAATTGTTCTGTTAAGTTTGTCTCAAAACAGAACATAATGCACAGTTTATACAATGATTTTCATTTGTTACAAAATTTCAGAATATAAAATGTCTTATAAACCTCAGTGCATTTTCACACCTCTCTAAAATGTTTCCAGATTCAAACAAATGTAAATTGTATCAACTTGTATATAGCTCATTCTGTTTTTAGAAGAAAAAAAAATTAAGAATTTCTCAAAATAGTTACAGCTGCATTGCACAACTTTTCTATTCAGGGGTCCGTCACCTGCTTGTCTTCATAGAGATGTTATTGATTTGCCTATTAAACCTATCAATCTCTAGGGAGACCACTATAGGCTACATTACAGGTTAGATCTGTGGAGATGCAAGCCTATTCACAAAGAGAATTATTGTATTTTGAGCTTTAGAAACACCCGTAATGAATAAATGCTAGATAGATGTGTTTAATTTGATACCATGAAGCTTTCCAGGCAAAGCAATAACATCTCAACAGAGACAAGCAGCTGACGGAAGAAAAGTTCTGCGATGCACCTTTAAATTCCCCTTTAAAAAGATTCTCTACCCCATCTTTGAATAATTAGACAGCCCCTCCCCTCCTCGTCCCCTGTTCCCTCCCTCACGCCCCAAGTAGCCCCTCCCACACCTCACATCGCTCCACTACCTCCACACTGCTTTTATTTTGGTAGTTCCGTGCACGTAGACCACAGGCTTAGATCACACATCTCCACCGCGCCGATAGTTCCACGCACTTGCACATAAAAAATCAGATGCCACGCCAGGAATGCGCCTCACCTGGCTCCTATACAAATGCATGGAAGCAAATACAGCTCATCCGACAATGACGCGTGCAGTCTAGTCTGACCCAAGTAGGATGTGAGTTAGCTGTTTGTCTCCGCGCGCTGGTGGTCCATCTTGATTGTACCTGTTGGGTCTTTATGAAGATGGCGGCTGTGATTAGGAAGAAGAAGTGGTTGATGGTATCTAGAAAAAAAAAGTGGTTGCCGGGCTTGCTACAAGTGTTGTTTTCTGGCCCCTATCGTTCAGGTATAAGAGAAAGATGGAAGATTGTATTATTGGTAGTGTGGTTGCTAGAAAATATTGAGACATGCTATGCTTGTGTTTACACTTGTTTTGGTTTGGATCCTGGTCTAGTCCTGATTCAGTTCCATTTTCAGTCCTGGTTTAGTTCTGGTTTAGTCCAGTTTTTTCTTAGTTTAGTTTTGATGTAGTGTGTGTTTGCAGATGTGGATGCATGCAATCTATGAGCAATATGCAACAAGTGTGATTTTTTTTCCCCTTTTTTTTTTTACCCAAACAATTGTGAACTATCTCAAAGTATGAAATAAGATATAAAATCCCTATTTAAAATCAATTTTAGAAATGCAAAGAAGAACTGGTTTGCATCATTAAAGCAGCATGTCTTACTACTTAATTACCTGGTCCAGTTTAGGTAAATAGAAATAATATGATTTCATTTACCAAAAATTGTTGCATGCTCTGTGTACATTCTGATTATATATGCAGTCATGAATAACCTTATAACTGATTTAAAACAATCCATATGGCCAAAATGTGTGTGAATGTCATCTTTATAAACACATTTAAAGAAAAAAAAAAAAATCTACAATTTTAAGCCTCTGAATCATACTTTCTTTTTGTTTTACATGTCCTCAATGCAACTTCATATGTTCCTAATAATAAATGTCAAGGTATTTTGATAACACTTTATAATAATAATATAATTTACAGCCTTTTAAAAGCCTGAAGAAACACTAATGAGCAAACAATGTATTAAGAATGAAGGGGTGTAGGTAAAAAGGTCGCTGAGTCATTCTTACTAAACAATTTCACCATTATGAGTTAAATCTCCATGCTTTTCTAAGACTAATTATGTTGTAGCTGTTACTCATTTCAGATTTAAAACCTCCAAACATATAAGAAAACCTCCCTAATAAATTCCACATCGGTAGCTGTGTCTGTATTGTGGTTATAGAGGAGGAAGGGGGGACGGGGGTTGTGGGTGCGATTCTCTGTCAGCGCCTCGGTTCTGCTCGGGTGGCGCTCTATGCCTCAGATAGCGCTCGGACATGACTGTGATGAGATGATTGTTCCTCTCTCATTCACACTGTCACAACAGCAGCATATGTAGCGTCCTCAAGCCTTCCGGAGCACACACGGACTACATGCTCCACAATGACCGTCTGTGCTCTGCAGTGAACGGGACCGAATGGGGGGGGTCCTGGAAAGACAAAATCAGTCAGCCTCTTGCACCAGTTGTAGACATTTTTATTTATTTTTTGTTACTTTTTATTGAGTTTACAAATGTGAGTTGACTTGCATGAGCCTGTGAAATTGTGTATTGCTTTAAGTGCAGTAGTGAAGTAGAAGAATGTACTTGTAAGCACCAAAAGTACTGTATCAAATAGAATAAAATATAGTAAAGGCATTACTCAAGTGTTGACTGTGCATACAACTACAAATATTGAGTACTTCTAGTGCAGTAATTACTACTATTAAGCTACTTTTACTTACTGACACTACTACTCTACTATTAAACGTAAAGAAGGTGCACTTCTTCTACTTTTTCTTCCTCTTGAGTCACTACTATAAACTTGCAATGTACTTCATAATATAGTATATAACAAAAAATGGTCAGGGCCTTACTTAATTGAAAAAAAAAAAAAAAAAAAAACTACAAACAGTAAGTACTGATATGGCACTTCAAATACTTCTACTACTTCTCCATCTTGAGTCACTACAATAAACTTCCAATGTACCTCATAGTATAGTATATAATAAAATATGGTCAAGGCCTTACTTAATTGAAGAAAATAAATAAATAATATAATAATAATAATAATAATAATAATAATAATAATAATAATAATAATAATAATAATAATAATAATACAAACAATAAGTACTGATATGGCACTTCAAATACCACTACTGCAACTCCATTAGAATTATAGAATGATCTTACTATTACTGCTACTACTGCACAAGTTTTAATTCTACTGCATGTATCACTACCATTGTACCAATCCTACTTGTATCACTACTACTAGTACCAACACCACTACGACTCTCGTGTATCTCATGCTGCTACTTTACATCTACTATTACTGACTTGGCTTTAATCAGAAATACTATTAGCCTTCATTTAATATATTTATTATCAAACATTTATTACAAAATTTGCTCAACCAATCCTGCACACCTGTAATTCTCTTTTACATAGACTTGTTCCAGATAACTTTTTGCGGTTCTGATGACTCCCCGTGCTCCTCATTCAAATGTGCAAAGCTAAAATACACGCTACCTGCTTCCAACGCCTTTTATTGCTACTCTCCAACCACACATAATACCCAGCCCTCCCTCCTCTCCACCTCTCCCCCCTCTCCGTGTGTCCCACCATCACACCAGCCTGGCCAAAACTACCTTCTGCACAACATCAGGCTAAGAAGTAAGAAATTGGAAAGAAATATCGCAGTTCCAATGCTAGGTTCTGGCCCCTGGCGTTATTGGTGATTTATTCGGAGAGCCAGTTGTAAGCAGCGCAGTTCACTTGTGAGGTACTTTTTTCGTAGCATGGGTTTAGTGCGAGAATATAACCTCTTATTTCTGACCCAGTTCTGTTTATCGTAAAAGTTTATGAGCGATTGCAAGAGGGGAGAGTGAGAGGGAAGGGAAAAAGAGAGAAAGAGAGAGAGGGATAGAGAAAGAGGGGAGGGCAGGAGTGAATGAGTTACCAGAGGGTGCAAAAAAAAAAAGGTAGATCTAGTTTGTAGTGCTTATGTTTTGTAAAACACTATGAAATTCAAACTTGCATTAAATATATTGTGTTTTTTAATATAACTGTTTATGCAAATTAGTCAAATTAGTATTCAATTTACTTAAAACTTTTATTTTCAATTAACATAAACATTTTGTTGTAGTAGTGTATAAAATAGACCCTAACCTTTTGCTTATATCTCATTATAGTGTATTTTATAACAAGAAACTAGGTGCATTTTCAACTATTCAAAATGAAATCCCAAATAAAATCTCTTTTTTTAGTCAGTTGCAGTCCAAAATTAAGTAATGGGAAAGTTTTGGTAGCATATTCTTAGTCTAATGTATTTTTATATTGAAATCCATTATTTAATTGTGCTTTAAAACAGCTCAAAGCAATCCAGTTTCCCATTCTGAATCAATACACTTACACTAATAATCCAATCATGCAGTTCTTGTTAGTATTTCTGCTCCCATTGTAGTAATCAGGCTACTTGAAAACCAATTTACAGTTTAAACTCATTGACAACAACAATGATGTTAACCTCTTTTACACCCCCGTCATTGTCTGTGCACTGTTTGCGTCTCCTCTCCAAACCCGGTCTAAGTGCCGGCCGCATTGATCCCCGCATAATCATCGTTGTGTTTTGTCGTTGAGATAATTAGCGCCAATTAGCTCCACGACACCCTCCACTCTGCCTGTTCAATTGAAGACAAAATGGATTCCGCGTGTAATTAACATCATCCGGAAGGGCCCTCGAGAGCTT